AAGGGATCGCTATACGGAAACATCGCTATACGGTGCACTCGTTAAGCGAGGCACCACTGTACTTATTTGATAAATTTTCCTTTCCTCTGGTAAATAGTGAGAATAATAATGTTTCATTTGGAACTTTTTATTTATTTGTTATTTTTTTCTTCTAGCCAATTAATTACCTCATACCAGAATTCTAATGTTCCCTTATGGGCACACTTTCTCCAGCACAATTCTGGTAACTCTGTTAATTTCATGTAGCTTGGCAGGACATAAGTGTTACTTGTGAACTACTTTTAACACCATTTCTTTACCTAGAAGTTGAGTCACAGCCACTGGACTTCTTTCTTGTTAGGCTGACACATTTCGCTCGTCATCCAAGTAGCTTCTTCAGTCTGAAGTCCAGTTGCCATGACTCAGCATCCAGATAACCTCCCCTGGATGACTGAAAATCTTCACAGATATATCATTTTGTTGGATTTTGCTGATTCTGATTTGTATGGTTGGGTGTTCCATATTTTTCCCCAAATATTTTGTGGTATGCTGATATTTAAATTTGTTACCCAAACTATATTTGGACATGTGCTGCTACCATATTCTTTATCCAGAATGCTTTTATAAATTAGTGAAATTAGTCCTTTTTTCTTTTTATTATTCCGATCTATACAATACTTTTCCAGCTCTGTTAATGGTCCTGACTTTTTATAAAATTCAATTGTGACATTTCTTCTCTGAAATAATGAAACTGGTTAGCTGCTATTTTTGTAGTCTTTTCTTCTAACTGACAAATTTTAATTGGTTTTCCTTGTACAAACAGATCTTTTATTCTATAAATTCCTAGTTCTTTCCAAAGTTTAAACTGAAAATTTTTATCCTTAGATTTAAATTGTGGGTGTTCTAAACAAGTATATAAAGGGGAATATTGGAGAGGCAAGAATTTTCATATTTCTTCTCCATATTCTCATTGCTTCTATAGTAAAAAGGTTCTATAATTGAGTCCCATTTCTTCGCAACCTGTATGTATATAAATGTAACTTTATTAGGTTTGATTTCCCTTCCTCTTCCATTTGAACCCATTCAGAGATCTCTCTTTCCCTTGTAAAGTTAACTACTTAAGCTATTTGAACTTCATGACTGATGGAGAGAATAAACATTATACAAACCTAGTTTTTACTGGGAACAGCAAAAGCAGATTTCTGACTAGTTCAGGTAATAAGCTCATAGTAAACTCATCAAAATGTACAATATGTACATCTGCAGAAACCCTGGAATTATAAGCATCATGGATAGGGCTACCTGCACTTGGGAATAATGGGAATTATAAGGCATGATTATGTATATCTATGGGGCTTAAACAATAAAAAAAGCAAAGCATGCTGCTTATATACCGCCCCATAGCGCTTCAAGCACTCTCTGGGTGGTTTACAATTTAATTATGCAGGCTACACATTGCCCCCCCCAGCGAGCTGGGTACTCATTTTACCTACCTCGGAAGGATAGAAGGCTGAGTCAACCTTGAGCCCCTACCTGGGACTGAGCCCCGGGTCGTGAGCACAGTTTTGGCTGCAGTACAGCGGTTTAACCATTGCGCCACGAGGCTCAATATACAAAATAAGTGGCACTAAAATGCTAGAAAAGTCCACACAATCACCAAAGATCAGCAAAACGTAATGAGCAGGACTGAACACAAAGCTGACTCTTTCAATTATTCCAAGAAACCATTTAATGATTCTAAGACATCTTTTAACAATTCCACGCTGAACTGTGAACTCTGCTTTCAACCAAGATGTTTCCTAACCAGATATTTCAGACTCTTACCTGGTATCTCACTTTCACTAGGGATCAAAGGGTGCCCACCAGTAGCAATCAGGATGTGGGGTGCAGTATATTTTTTACCATCAACTTCAACTGTAGGTTCATGATCAGCTGTGAATGATGCATGGCCACGAATGGTTTCTACATGAGCCTAATGAAATCAAGTTTAGACTGGTAAAAGTTGATATCTGGCTTGGCAGCTGAGGCAGCTAAAACACCCCCATGACTTCCTTCCTTTTATCTTCTTTTCCTCATCTACTGCTTGATTCTTAAGTGAGCTCTCTGGGACATCCAGAAGTACAGATTTGACCAATCCCCTCCAGATGTTTATTGAAGGATGTATACTGTAGAACTAAATTAACTTTTGCACCACAGACTTGGATTCATCATTCTCCTTCTACAGAATATCGATCGATCGATCGATCTATCGATCTATCTATCTATCTATCTATCTGAGAATATCTAGGATAATATAAAATCTCTTCAGGTTTGAGGTGAAAATAGAAAAGTACTTTGCCTCACCACCTCTATCTCATTTATCTCCTGCCAACACTGCAAATTCTAAACAGTTTAAGGAATAGTTATAAAAGAAGCTTACAAAAGTGATTTGCTCTGAAACAAAAGGGAAGAATCATTGTTTCAAAGATGAAAATTAACTATGCAATCCTCTTTTTTCACACTGTGAAAAATTTACACACCTTGTTCAAATTATTTTGATAGATCTCATTCAGGCGCTTCACATAAGCATCACGTTTCTCTTTAATTACTCTGTAATAAAATGAGTTTGATGTCACAACATTCTCTTACTCACTGTGTCCTACTAGTAAGCTCAAAGTTAAAAACAAATGCTTCGTTTTATTTTGTTATTGGTAAATAGGAGATATCCAACCCTCTAAAGATTCCCATTCTAAACAGATTGTGGGTGGGGGGGGGAAATAAGAAAGGGAATTGCAAGAACACTCTATTCCATGACACAGTATCAGAGTGACACACTATCAAAGTGGCAGCCCTTTCAGTACCTAGTCTTCAAAGTACCACAGATACAACCATAAACAGGACAAGACATTATCCAGTAGGTGATCTTTCTGTAGCATTATAACCTTTTTCATAAACATAATTTCATAAATGTTAACTTCCTTCATAACATTTGCACTTACCTCCAATTAAATTTTACAGTAGATATTTCAAAACCATAATCCATGTGATCATGGATAAATTCAGAGTGGACGGCAGTATTCCACATCACCTGTTTGGGAACAGGAGGAGGACTGAGTGTAATAATAAATGCAAATTGAAGCATCCTTAATTATTCAGTAAAGCACTACAAGAGAAGTAAGAGAGGCATATCATGCATGAGGAACCTATGTTGAGACCATGGTTTGAACAGATCAGGACTACACAACCCATCACTCACCACGATAAGTCCAATCCACTAATTGTGTATCATGAGATACCAAACACCTGGCCAGCTCTCCAACCTCTGCCGTTTGCTAAAAACGGAGTTGTTTAGCACTTCATTAACTACGTATACTGTATGCAGCCTTGTACATTAAATAGTTGTGCATGCCTAGATAACTATACAGTGGTGCCTCGCATAACGAGCGCACCGTTTAACGCCAAATCCGCATAGCGACGTGTTTTTTGCGATCGCTAATGGGATTGCATTGCGACGTTTTGAATGGGCAAAAATCGCATTGCGATGATCGGTGTTTTGCTTACCGATCTTCGCATTGCGATGTTTAGAAAACAGCTGATTGGCGGTTCCAAAATGGCTGCCGGATCAGCAAAATGGCCGCCCGCAGCGTTTTCGCGCCCTGCCCTCGCTTACCGAACAGCGAAAATGGTGGCCAGATGGGGGAATCTTCGCTTACCTGTGAGTTTTCCCCCCATAGGAATGCATTAAACAGAGTTTAATGCGTTCCTATGGGGTTTTCCCTCCCGCATAGCGACGAATCCGGATAGCGATGTTAATCCTGGAACAGATTAACGTCACTATGCGGGGCACCACTGTATATGATCCAATGACAGTTGGACCTTTTTGATGTATATTGAACTCAGCAGACATTACGCAAAGCTGTTCTGTGCCCTAAAGGCAAGAACTAAGCAATAGGAAACAGCTGGAAGCTCCTGTAAACACAGAACCCACTGCATCTTTTCAAATGTTTATTTCCACAAATAGTATATATAAACTTGGAATTCTGTTTCAAGCCAGTTCTGATATTGTGCCAGAAAGGCTTAAAATCCCTTCAAAGAAACAAGCAAGTCAGATTTATGTTAGTATGTTATACTAATACTTTTTAATTAACTTTGATTGTACAAGTAGTAAAGGATTTATAGCTATTAGTGGCCACTGGAATCTTTTCTTCCCAAGCAAACATTTAAAAAAAACACAGAGACATAAATAACACATTTGTAGCATGTTTTAAAGGGCTTTGTTTACCTTTTTGGGCACACATCCAACATTAACCTATAAAAGAAAAATAAACTAATTAATTCATAATTACCATCACTTCTGATGTAATCTAGTAATTTAGTATAAGCTTAGCATACAGCTGGAGGTCAGCATGTACTAGATTTACTAAGCTGAATTAACATTTATGAAACAGATAGATTAAAACTTTTAAATGTGGTTACTTTATTTCTAACACTAGCAAAATGCATCATTATGGTAAAAATTTTGGTATATAGGTAAAGTAGGCTTGCCAACTGTAAGGGGCCTTTCAGGGGGTAATGTACTTCTGTGTGCTACTTACCAAGAAAAATTATAATGAGTGTGCAAACACCTGAGTGATTTATATGATCAGACAGAGTGAAAATGTTGCCCTTACTGGAACACTCCCAGATGCAGCACTTTCACTTTTCCCCATTCGAATAAATAATGACTCTCTACTAATACTGTACAAAGCAATTACTGAGACGTGGTGCCAAACTTTTTGTTTCTGGTTACTGTGGAGCATTTTTAATTGTATTTCACACAAGCTTTCTTTCTGTGAATTGGCCACCTTCTGTTTACATCGTGAATACATTACCAGATTTCTGATTGCTTATTTTCAACATCATCTTCATATGCTTTTCCAGTTCTGATCTATGGCAAAACAACAAAAACCCCACCTTGCGATAAAAAAATGCAGTACCATCCTATCCCAACTGGACAGGCAAAAAAGAACTGTAACTTTTAAGAGGTAGTGTGCCTATATTTAAGAACTTCCTACTTGCAGATTCACTCTGTTTTATGTTTCCCCACACCAGTTAGCTAAACTATTAATGATCAGTAGCTCCTTAATGAATTACTTTCTGTTAGAAGACGAGTTTCATTTTAATCAGAAAAAGTAAAAACGTTTGGAAACCCGTCTCACCCTCACATTCCAAAAGGAATTATTATGTGTTCCTCCATGCAAATCACAGTTGTTGTTTTTTAAAGTATCGGGCAAATAATGGAGGATTAACTTTCAAGATGTGAATAGAGATGAATTATTCATCTTCCTTGAGTTACATGAAACATAAAGCTACTAGCTTAAATTTGGGAGATGAGAAAAGGAGTTCTGTACTTCCTGAAATGTAAGTCATGATTTCCACACAAACCACAACATCTGCAGTGGTGTGCAATAATCTAAAGCAGGACCAACTTTACCATTTATTTGGCAGCCTGAGGCAACTGCCTCTTGACACAACTGTGCATGCCACACAACCTTCCCTAAATAAGTCTGATGCATCAGATAGAGTGGTGCTATGCTGCTGCCATGTAAGATTCAACTGCCAGTCCAGTCAGCATCTGACTGGAGGTGAACTAAGGAGCTGCCACTTTGTACAGTATTTTCATTCAGGCAGCAAAGTATCTTGGGCCTGCCCTCCTATCAGCTCCTTCCAGACAAGTAGTCCTTAGGAGTACCACTAAAAAGCTCTTAAGAAAGAACAGGAAATGTCACAAATGGAAGGGGCATCTCCTCTACACAGTTACTGCAGTATGGATCCCAATTTCAACTTTCATGGGTTCATCTGCTCTTCTACAGATTTCCGGTTTTAATATTTCTTGGCTGCAGAGCTCCAGTGTGCTTTGCTGAACTACAGGAAAACGGTCTAAAATCCTTCAATGAAACACAAACCCCACCACTCGACAGAATGAAGCCAAGGCAATGAAAGTGATTTATCAAACCGCGTTGGCTATGTAGAGGAAGAGGCGGTGAAAGGCACCTGGAATCCCATAAAAATCTCTGAATGCAGCAGCGCGCCAGCAGGATCTTCCTTCTTTCCCTGCTCAGGTAAGCAACCCTACCCTTTTTTATTTTTTTTTCTTTCTCTCTCTCTCTTTTTTTAACTTCCTTGATTTCTGTAACTCCCCTCATCCCACCTGAATAAAAGAGAACATTAAAAACAAACACACGGATTCTCAAACTCCTCTGCAACTCTCCCGTCCCTGGTTTAAAAACGTCAGTCTCCGGGGGTGCGTGTGAATTGGCCAAAGAACTCCCCAACTCTTGCCAACCTCATTCCT